AATGATGAGAGCTGTTTATCTGAGGGCTGTGTTGTTTTGGCTGAAACTATTCATACTAGTGTCACAGAAGGCCTTTAAATAACTGGAACCAACATTCTTCAGTGGATAACTGCCACCTCTAACCCAGTTCCCCATTAGATATGTAAGCACATGTAAGCTTTGATGAGACTAAACGTCATCACAAACACACCACCTCCAACATGAAGCACGGCGGTGGCATCATCATAATGTGGGGATGCTTCTCAACAGCAGGCTTGTAAAGGTAGAGATCAGAGTCAATGGCTGTATTTATTTATTTTTTTTTAGTAGTATAAGGATGATGCAGTCTGGAAAAAGTGACATTTCTGAATAAACGTGACTTTATTTGATCCCATCAACCGCTGAGCGTCATCATGAAACGTGAAATACAACAGAAAATAAACGGCTTGTGTTTTCTACTCATGCAGTTGTTTTTTAATCGATGTGGTTTATGATGATATTGTTAAAAGCTACGGTGAAATATATATCGACTGAGAAACGCAGCTGTTAAACATGGTTGGATGGCTTCTCCAATTTTTTCTGCTTTAATCTATAAATATTTTGTTAGCGCTTTCATACAGCCTGGAGTGATTATGCATGGATGTCATATTGTCTAGTAACAATATTTTCGGATGTATTCGACATTAGACACGTTTGATATTTCTCTCATATCACATATGAATAAAAAACCTAATGTCTCTCTATGTAGACCAACTCAGGGGATTTTTGGAAAACATTGAACACACACACATGCATGCACACATATAGAAATGTATGTTTAAATGTTTAACATGTGTGTGTGTTGCATGAAAAGAGCAAAACGAGAACACAGAGGACATTATTATCAGACTAAGGGAGTGAAACCTGGATACATGAGCCTCATTCACTCAAATGAAAGTTGTTTTCCAAGTTTCTATCAACTGATTGGCATTTTGTTTTGTTTTCTTTTAGCAATGTGGACCCAGTGTTGTAGGAACATGAATCTGCTTTACTTCGTTATACTTTGTTTTTCTATCTACTTTATTATACTTAGCTAAGAAGATACGTAAAATTTGATATTTTATTGTGAATATTCTTGTTTTTCCCACCTTAAAAAGAAGTGTGAAAGTTAATTTTTTACCTGGTCTTCTTCAGAGCACTGTTCTCTTACTGAATATGAATTTTTGAAGTTAACTTTTAGTTTATGAGATCAGAACCGGAGCGCCTCAGACAGACATAACAGAAAGTTATCCACAGACAAGATGTTAAATATTTCTGTGACTCTTTAAGAAATAGCTAGAGAACAGGGTTTTAAACAAGCCAACATCCTGAAGACGTGCTTTCTGATCTCTGGTAAGTTCAGGCCGTACACGAGAGGGTTCAGAAGTGGAGGAATCATCACAAACTTCAGCGACAAAAGAACAGCGAGAAATGGGTTGATCTTTTCAACGTCGATACGACTCAGGAAAATGTCACAAAACACAGCGACGGAGTAGCTGACGAACAAAATGATGTGCGGCAAGCAGGTCTGGAAGACTTTGCTCTTAAATTCAGAGGAACCTTTCATGCACACGAGCACAATCCGAAGGTAGGTGTACAAGACGTAGATCAGAGGCAGCATCACTGTAACCGCAGTTAGAAACAACCCGACAGCGTTATTGACCAGCGTGCTAACACACGACAGCTTAGCGATGTTCCAGATGGCACAGTACACCTTCAGGATCTTGTTGCCGCACAAAGGAAGCCTTATGCTCAAGTAAAGAGCTGCTCCTACAGAAAACACCGGACAGATCCAAGCGAAGGCTGCCAGCCTACAGACGGTAGCAGAGGTCACCCTGCTGTGATAATGTAAGGGATCGCAGACAGCGACGTATCTGTCGTACGCCATCACACTCAGGATGGTCAGCTCATAGGAAGCATATGTGTAGATGATATAGATCTGAGTGAAACAAGCAGGACGTGAGATCAAGTGAGTGTCAGACAGGAGGTCCATGAGGAATCTGGGGAAGAAACCGACAGAACCGTACACGGAGTTAACGCATAAGAATGCAATGAAACAGTACATGGGCTTGTGGAGCGCTGTCCTCCGTGATATGACCAGGATGATCACCAGGTTAGCAGAAACAATGGTGGTGAACAGCAGGAAGCACACCGCAAAGGCTGGATACCTGTAAGGCCCAATGGGCACGTACATGGTGAGGTTGAAGTGAAACACGGTGCCGTTTTCCATTTCACACAGTCGGACTGAACCGAAGAATCCTGGTGGAAAATCCTCAGATCACACATTTCATTTCTGTTTGTGTAAATGTGGAATTCATCCTGATCCAGAGAGCTGTCAGATGGAGACAAATCACAGTTATTAGGATTAAAATACAACATCAGGTAAATGTTTTGCTATAAATAATGAACGTTCGTTACCTGTATTCTTGTAGCTTGGATGTCTGTTACAGCTTTCACCGTCAAGAAACCTTCAGCACGTGTCGCTTCGAGAGTCTCTGATTATGAGTCGAAAGTATTTATATGTTGTGACGCAAAAGGAAGAACGCACCAGAATTTGCAGATTGGCTGGTTCCACTGCCATAGAGACAAATGCTCAGTGGTATAACACCCTTAGTGGCACTTCACCTTACTACCAAACTTTATACTCCCTTTTTTTTTTTTCTCACAGCAGTGGCATTGTGTTTACAGGATGTCTATGTATCAGTCCCCTGAGAGAATTTCTTCAAATCTGGCACAAACGTTGAATTCAAGAATGAACTGATGAGATTTTTTTCGTCACCAAAGCAGCCACAACTCGAGAATTCATACAGTAATTGTCAGAGGTCGCATCGCTTTTCCTGCTGTTATTAACACCAACGCTCAGGATCTGAAGAGGGGACGGTGACCAGAGCTGATCAGGTGACGGTAATCTAGGTTGTCCACTTGGGTTGAAAGCATGAAGCTCCTCTTTGCTGCTGTGTTGAAGTCGTGTGTAAAGCATCCACGTTTTAGCATTTTTTGCTTCTTTGCTGCAGCATCTATGGTCTCTAAGTAAAGACAGAGTGTTTCTCACCTGAAATTATTCATCATGTGTATATAGTGATACCGTTCGTAGATCCAAAAATACATTTTTAAAGTCTTCACTACAAGTATTATGTGAGTCTAGATATACGGTCCATTTAATCTGTAGACAAGTGGAGAAATGGTAAAATCCATCCCTTTCTCTCCGGGGTGTAGAACATGCAGAATGAAGGAGATTATTGGTTTCCCACATTATGCATCGTTTCCATCTCTACTACATGATCAGGATCGTTATCAGGCTTCTGCAGAGCTTGATGATGAGCTGATCATTTGAATCAGGTGTGTTGGAAGAGGGAAACATCTAAAACATGCTGGATAGGGGCTCTCGAGGACCAGGATTGGGCACCCCCGGTCTAGAGGAACATTTGGTCTTGCTAGTTCAACCTCTGAACAAAAAAAAAATCTACACAGGTACGTTTTTTTCTGTAATTTGTGGCAGGATTGTGCAACTAATTCCAACAGAATCTTTACTAATGAGCCAGGTGCTGCACTCGTAGCACCAAAGTCCCAACCAGGGGTTTGACTCACTAGTCAGTAGTTACTGGTCACTAATTAACTAATCAGATGAATCCATGTTTATCTGCACCTTACTGGTTAACTATT